AATCTCCCCAAATTGCAACAATAGCCCTCTCCATAACCGTCCCACCACGCTGCAACAACAGTCCTGCTTGTAGCCAAAGCAGTCCCCTTCCCACCACACCTTTGCTCCCCTGAACACAACCAACCGGACCTCAAGCAGTTGTAGTCAAGACAGCACAACAGTCTACAACAGCCTGGCCAGTCTCGTGGCAAGGCACACTCCGAGCAACAGGGTACACGACAACCACCGCAATGACATATGTCGCAGTGCTGCACTGCGCAGCAATGGCTAGCCACCGCGTTGCTGCACAGACATAGCGGACTGTGCCGGAGGTACCAGAGCCCTGACCTCTTACAAACAGATAGCCACGCACTCAGACTCTCCCTTCAGCAAATGTGGCATGCCAGGCAGCACATCCCCAACCAAACTTGTTGCGGCCTCACTTCGTTGGTATGAGCAGCTCACCAGCCAATCAAAATCTTCAACCCCACCAGTTCACTTCCCACGCCCATCTCTCCGACTGATAAGCCGCCAGCCCGGATTGGTATGGTGAACGACACACCAGTCGGCGCCAGATACTCTCCCTTCTCCTCTACTAAACCCCTTTGTGCTCAACCTCCGCTCCTAGCCCGACGGCCTCGTGCGGACGTCAGTTGGGCAGCACACCAATGTGCAAATCGAGAATGGACCTTTCACAAAGGTATAGCTAAACGCACCCCATCGGCCCTCTGCCGAAGTACCACGGTGGACCACACACGATTGTCGTCTGCTACCCGCCGATCCTACCTACGAAACGACCCCCTCTGCTAGTATGGGGTGGAATCCATTGCCCCGCCACCAGTCCGATTCATGCACAGTCGGCCGATATCGTAATGGCAGCAGTACTATTGCCCGCAACAACAGAATGCACTCTGATCAGGTAGCTACTCGGCCCTCCCCCACCTTCACCTCCGTCCTCTCTTCGTAATTCCTACCACCTTCCGTCCTCTTCCGCAGTTCCTATCTCTCATCGCTCCCGAACCAGACCTCCGTGACTGAGACTGACACCGCCAATCGGCTCGCCCGGGCCCAGAACCCTCAAGACGCATTCTCTACTCGCCCATTTCCATTCTGAACGGCAGGGCTCGGCGTTCTTGACCGCACACCATTCGACTCCCCGCCATCTTCGACTCCTACCCCACTGCGCACGCACCTAACGCCGTTTCGCACCTAGATCCACCTCTCCCCACTACCGCGCGTTGACGTCAACAGCCCTTCACCGTTTCCTTCAAGCACCGCAGCTTTTAATCACGGTTCGCGCGGCTCCAGCAATGGCCGGTCCCACAGCGAAGTACTCCGTCAAAGCCCGGTGTGGCAAAACAGTGTACACGCGCGCCTCCCGAACTTATACTCCTTGCCCCGATGCGGGGGCCTCGACGATCCCCTCTATACCATTTCAATTTTTGCGGACGTCCCGAAGGACTTGGTCCTTCAGAGCGCTACCGGCCCTAAGCACCGTCCGGCCTTGACAAAACTCCGCACGAATCTGGTCTCCCATCGAGGCCGGATTCGAGTAAGTGCCCCTCCCCCTTTTACCAAATCCTGCGCGCTGTCCATACACAGGAGCCATACTAATCTCCTCCGTGTCACTCCTAATTTCGCGCGCCCCCCCAGAAGCCACGCCCGACAATCTTTCACGATTCTTCGAAGAGATCGCCCGACCCTCCCCCTAGCCCGGTTTGCGCCCAGATTCGTCCCCGGACCCCCTTTTTCATCTGTCACCCCCACGTGCGCGCCCTCTTAATCCGACTCCCACACAGCCTCGACAGACACTAGGCCGGGAGGGTCCCTGGGGCGGTTCGCTGAACAACACGGTCCGCTCTCTCACCTTTTTTCCCATCTCCCGTCCGGGTTCACTCCCGGACCTCCCCTCTTACACCACCCCCTCGTAGATCGCGCAGATCTCCTCCGCCTTACCTGGATTCCTCCCAAAGGAGATCTGCCACGATCACTACCCCATTCGCCCCACTCTCTCCTCATGGACCTGGCCCTCCCTTCGGGGTTTATGCGTGTGAGCCTTTGCGACCAGGCAGATTTTCTTTAAATCGTTCCCTAGATCCGCCCTAGCGGCCGCATCAGATAGTTGGCCAGCTCCTGCAAAGCCCAACCTTTTTAATGTTTGGCCCCCATCATACAAGTTAGGCGGGGGTCTGCGCCCCCATTGTATATGGGTACTCCCAACAAGATGGGTCGTTGGCCTCAGGGTGCGGCCGCCCGCCTCTTAAACGGCTCTAACTAGGCAGAAAAATTCTGGGGTGGTCCCCAAAATAAGAAAAAGGGATCGTTTGGAAGGGGGAATGAACCACGACCCTCCCAATATTCCCATAGCCTAGCGGCGCGGACCGACGGTCGGGCTCCCCCTAGAAAAACAAAAAGGGGATAGTCCCGCAGGACCCTCAACCCCTTAACTTTTTGGCGCTCCATTGCTCCTGCGTCGTCTTCCGCCGACCTCAAACCTCGTACCTCCGCCGTGCAAATCCAGTGTCGTAACCTATAGGGCCAAGCCCAAGCCTGTGACCAGCAAGCGCAGTTTCCCATATAAAGTGGCACCACGCGGCGTTCCGGGCCAGGATACCGCCCCGGCCACTCTTCCAACCCACACTTGTACCCACGGCCCCTAGGCGCCCGTGCCGGCCTACCACCCCGCGCTGTGGCCGTCCCATGCGCCTACCGGTGCGCCAGCCTTACCCTCGGTCACGCGCACCTATCAAAAAACAAACTTTCATTCCTTAACCAAGGCCGTAACTCGGTCCAGGTCGGTCGGCTACCCCGGCCGCCCATTCAATTAGAAAAATCACACGCGTGCCTTTCATATTTCGCGCCCACCCACTCCCTACCGGGACAAGGCAGACCTTGGCCTGCGCGCGGACAACCCTCACATTTTTTCGCTCGGGCATTCAAAGTCCAAGTTAACCGAGCCTTTCTGTCACTTGCAAAACCCAGGGCGGATACCCTTGTAAGGGTATTCGCACCGACAACTTACCGGACCGTATTAAGCGACGTCCCCGTCGCGTCGCCAGATCAAAAAGCTATACACTCCCTCACATTCCAAATGCTGACGAGATCGGAACCAATCCGATTAGCCGACAGACTCAGGGTCGAGGCCTCCATCAAACCGTGCCAACACAACTATATGCGGCCAGGGTTTGAACCTGGGTCTCCATTGTCCTAACACCAGGACGCCGGTGTATTACGCGTCAATACTACAGCATAAGTTCCAAAGGCCCTCAAACCATCCTCTTCCCCTTCGTCCTAGACAACCGTCGGCTTCTCGTTAGATGTCCCAGTTAGCCTCTTTCTCGTAAGCAGAGCCATAACTAGAGACGCGGGCTTCGAATGGGACCTATGAAGACATTCTTTGCCTTCTTCCACAAATTCCTCATAGTCAAACAAAATACACACGTATAGGCCTGTAGCCTCCCTCGGGCTTTTCTGCAGTCTAGTACAGAAATGCCAGGTCCCCATCTGGGCCCACCGTAGCCTGGCTGATCAGGCCGGGTCTACGGCCTACCGCGTTGTTACCTTAGCGGCGGTATCCTCCCATTGGTTATACAATGGCAGGCATGTCCCTGATAATCAATCAATCAGGGCTTCTAGAAGACTTGACTCTTATACCGCAAGGTAATTTCCCTGGGGCGGGCAACTCCCCTTAAACTTTTACCTTGCGGGCCCGCAGCCAGGTTGTGCCGGCTAGCAGCCATCCATTAGGGGTTGCGCCCAGGTGGCACTAAACTTTACCGTTAGTTTGGTATTCCTTTAAATATGTCTCAAAATTAGCACAGGTGGCCCGGGGGGCCGTCACAAAGAAACTCACAGGCCGCTGCGGGACTACGCAGGAGTCTGAAGGCATTTACCGGCCCTCCTATACTAGGCACGACATCCTTCACTCAATCACAAACCATCCCTGCCGGACTCACCTGGCCGCGACTCCTGACTTGATCAGAGCCAGCAGCGGCCCACCCTGAGGCATCTCTCGCCCTTCTTAAATATTTCAAGCAAACATGGTCCCCTCTCGTCAGACTTTATCATCATAGACAATGTTTTCCACACCATTCAACTTTTACCCACCCTCACTTAGTGAAGGCTGCTTTTTACAAAAGATTTCCTGACCATCCCCTTCCTGTATGGGATGACTCCTCACACGACCTTTCCCAAAACCATGAAGGGGTCTTCACACAATGTAATTCCCACCTCCCAGAATCATGAAGGGGGTCTTAGTCATCAAACAACTCAAACTGAGGGGCCACCTTCTGGGTCCCTATACGATTTAGGCAACGATGTTTAGTGTGACCAAACATACAAATTCCTAAGTCCGTCAATCCCGTAGGATTCTCACAATTTTTACAAACAGGCTGCATTCCCCCTCCTTATACTCTGCCCTCTCGCCCGCTCGCAGCAAACCGCACGAATATACCGGAGGGTAGACAACTCTACAATTCACGCAATCATGCCCATGAGATGTAACCTATATATCTCTCACACAAAGCAAAACATTCATTGAGATAAATCCACACATGTGAGAGCGATAGTGATCGTCACAAGACAGGTCTCGTAGGATCTCAACTCATAGTACACTCAGGGAGTAGAATGTCTCCCCCAACAATTGAATACAAGCACTCAACTCAGTACCCCGTCTGTCTGAGTAGGACTCATAACCCCACTGTACACTCATCAAATACACTCGAGAACATACCATCCGCCTAATCATCTACAGAATGGTCAGGCCCTGTCCTCTCCTGCTGGAAAAACTCACATACCGAGTGCTATAAACTCCCAAACCTCATTCAGAGCAGCACCTGAATCATAAAACCAAATGTAACTAAACGGTCTCATATATCGCACAGCTGGGTCCTACCCCTGGGTCGTAGCCCACGGAGAAACTCAAGAGAAAACAAGTGAACAACAGTCAAACGCATATGTACAATCGAATAGAAACTCATCTCGCCACTCCCACATACACACACACCTTAGGGCCCGCTCAACTGACTCAAGGTATGTACACCCCTAACCCGCTGTGTGTCAAGGGTCTCTAGCCCTATCAGTATATAGACAGACCGATCCCTATTTACACAATTCCTCCTGGTTCTGCCTATATAACTGAGCCCTGCCCCCATCTGAAACTCGCTCCACTACCCTGCCCTGTCTGTCATAGAATTTGTCGTCGACCTCCGCAACTCGCCCCTCGGCCTTATCCTCAAGGATCTCTGGGCAGTCCATGGCTCTATGCCCTCCCTCCTTGCACCAAAAACAGGAGGTATCGTGCCACCTGACAGTCTTCTTCTTTCTTCCTTGCGAACTCGATGCCGAAGGCGCCCCCATGGTCCCAGTAGTCACCTCGTAACACGAGGGCAACCCCACATGGCCCTGAGGTCCGGGCTCCATAGCCTCGGCACCTCCACCCCTTCGTGCAGCCGCACTCCCTGGCCCGCGCTCTGGCGTATCCAACTCTCGGGGTCCCTCCTCATGAGCCCTCTCTGTCATCACCGCCTCATCCCTGCATACCCCTGACGGCTGAGGGCCCCCCATAGCGGTGGGATCACTCATGACCTCCTGCTGTTGTTGCCGCCACAAGTCAGGGTCCCCGGAGTCCGTCTCTGTGGCCCAGGAGCCCAGCTCCGTCCTCAACTCCCCCAACCTCGGGGCATGCTCTAGAGCGTCGAGTCCCTGAGGCCCCTCCTGTGGAGTGCCTATCCCCATGGCTGCCGCCAGCTCATGCAAGCGCGAACCTTTCCTCTTCGTGGACATAGCCATAAGCGACTCCTGCGCGCCACTCTCCTCCTCGACTGCGTCCAAGGGCGCCTCCTCCATTGGCTCGGCTTGTCGAGGGACCTCCACCGCTGCTCCCTGACCCGGCGAAGCCTGCACCCCTCAACCCTCGCCCTCGGCACCGGCTCGCCCCATCTGGCTCGCCTCTCAGGCTACCGAGAGCCTATCCACAGCGGCCGTCATCTCCCCAAATCTCCTTTCCCACTCAACCTCTCTAGCCTGGCTCCTCGTCCTCTCCTCGGCAAGCTGAGTAGTCAGGTGCTCTACCTCCAGCTCCTTAACCCTGAGCTCATTGCTGAGTAGATTATACCACTGGAAAGATGTGACTGTCGTCTCGCATACCCTCCGATCCATGCGCTCGATTGCCTGCCTGGTCGCGGAGAACCCCAAGTCCCCCATCTCTCTCAACTCACTCATCTCCTCATCCGCCTGTCCCGCCTCTCATGACCTCTGGCGGGCTGCATCCCTTTGGCTCCTCATCCGCCTGTCCCACAACTCGTCGATCCTCTGCTCACTCGTCTTGGGCTCGACCGGCGGTGTCGGCTCTATCCCCGCTGCCTCCATCTCAGCCTGTCTTGCGTATATCTCGTCCAGACAGACCCGCACTCGGGCGGACTTCTCTTCGCGGGTCTCTCTTGGGGTTCCTCCCATCCGCGGCCCCTGGTCTCCTGGAGTCGACGCCTCTGCCTCCATCCCTGTGCTCGCGCGCGGCACTACTCGCGGTAACTCTGCTGAAACGGGCTCCTCGATGTCCGGGCTCTTGGTCGCCTGCGTGGCCGAGGGCAAGTCAAGGGGCGCCTCCATCCTCGCTCTCTCACACACGCCCTGGTCCTCCGCCTATGCCTCCTGCTCAGGTATAGTGGTGGCCTCAGGGGGAAACTCCGGGATCTCCTCACTGCCTGGCTCAGGAATCCCCTCTGGCCATGAACGTTGTGCTGGCTCTGGAGTTGGGGAGCATGGAGGGGTATCGTCCCCAACCGTGATCACCTCTCTACCCTGAGGTCGCACCGGATCCGGCCGCTCGGCTGCTATCTTAGGATCCTGCGGCCCCTCTCGGTCTCGCATGTCTGTCTCCATCTCGGGGTCGAGGGGCTCCTCCAATGGCATGTAGCATGCCGGCTCAACTGAGCCCTCTCCCAGCCGTGAGGCCTCCCATTGGGATACATCGAGATGAGTCGCTAAGCTTCGGAATGGCGTCTCTCTTGGTATGTCCAGCTCCTGCATTGATGGCAATGGCGAGGGCGGCCTCAACTCCTCGCTCGTAATCCGCCGAAACTCTACCGCTCAGAGGCCACAAGCAGGGAACGACTCCTCTGTCAATGCGGGCCCTGCGGGCTCATCCTCCCGCTGGGCCGGGGCTCCCCTCCCCTCTCTGGCCAGCCCCGCCTCTCTCGGTGCCGGTTCCCTTGGCCTCTTGCTTCGCCGCCGCCTCTCAACTCTGGGCTCGTGCCTCTCGTGCTGTGGCCGTCCGAACACCCTCCTAAGTTGAGCCTGACTGTCCTCCCAGTCTCGAGCCCTCTCCTGAATCTGCTTGACCGCCTGCTTCTTTGCCCACCTCGTCCAGATAAGTAGGGCTTGCACCCATTCCCCCTGCGCAACCCCCAGACTCAACATGTAGTGCTCATGTGCGGGGATGAACTCATCTGCATTCCCCTCCTCCAATCGAATGGGCATGCCATCACGCCCCCTAGGGGAAGCTCTCAACCTCTGCATCCCGGCTTCCACGTCCGGCCAAGTCAGGGCCTCCTCATATATCTGAGCAACAGGCTCCTCAAACCACCCTATACCCCTCAAGTGGTGAATCCTCTCCGCCACTGATCACCCTCTTTGTGCCGCATGATCCCGATAGACGTCCAAGAAGAGCTCAATGTTGTCATCATCAAACTCAGGCGTAGGCTCCCTCCTATGGGGCTCGTGCTGCTCACCCCTTCCCTCCATCCTCTGGGGCCCCTGGCGTGGCCGTGTGTCCCTCCCGCCCCTCTGCATGACTGCCTTCGAAAAGTCAGACCTGCATCACAGGCGGGAGACAACAAGCATGCACACAGCAGGGTCAGCAACCGAGCCATCGGCCTAGGGAAATCCCACATACACTCCACACCCATCCATCCCAATCACCCACCTATCTAGTCGTCCGACCTGGGTAATACCTAGGCAAGACTCTATCCCTAACGAGGTCTCATGGCCCCTTACCTATTCCCTGGCCACAAACTTCTTCAGCCTTGTCCCTGATACCCAATCCTGCCATCCTGCCCCGTCCAGCTCCTCAATTTGGTAGGCCCCAAACTCGCCACACCGCACGATCCTATAAGGTCCCAACCACCGTTTGTCGAGTTTCCTGGACCACTGCTTTTCCAGCGAGGAGTCATACAGCAGCACCACATCCCCAACCTTCAGTGGATCCTTCCTTATTCGGGTCATCTGGTCCCACCTCATCTTGTCGTCCATGCGACTTCTCTCCACCTGACCAGCGGCCTCCCGTAGCCTTTCTTCAGCGGTCCCCACTTGTCGCGCCCGTATGTCGAGAAGTTCTTCAAAGGATAGGTTCACTTCCAGGTCCTCGCGCCTCCACGTCTTCATAAAACTTTCTATGGGGAAGGTGGCATGCCTTCCATATCATAGAGTGGGTGGCGCATACTTGGTAGTCCTTTTCACTGTAACATTTTCCACGAAGAAAGCTGCTCTCAGGAGCTTCGGCCATTGGTTAGGCTTCCCCTCCGTCCACTTAGCCAGGAGATTCGTGATGGTGTTGTGCCCCCTCTCCACAGGTGCGTTCGCCTGGGGGTGCGCGGCAGTAGTATAGTTTGCTACCACGCCGTACCCCGCGAGCAAGGTCCGCACTCGTTACAAGTGAACTCCGACCCCCGGTCCATCACAAATTCTCTGACAAACGGATAGCGCAGGTAGTACTCTTCGATGCACCTTGCTAAGACTGGGCCAGTCTTTGCGCGAATAGCCCGACCGTCCACAAACCCAGTAAGGTTGTCCCGTGCATCGAAGATATAATTACTTTCATCCTCCCCGAGTGGCATGAACAAGAGGTCCAGGTGTACGACAGCACCCACTTCCCTTTCTAGCCTGGGGTGTAAAGGCTCCCCAGGCCTTTGCGCTGACCTCTGCTGACAAGGCACACAGGACTGGCAGTACTTGATGACCATAGTCAGCATTCCATCCCAATGGTATAACTCGCTTATCTTCGCACACGTGGCACTAACCCCTCTATGCCCCCCTGCTATACCATCGTGTAGGGCTGCTATGACATCGATCTGCCGGTTCCTCCCACATACGATCCTCTTGGGGTTCCCAACGTGTCGCTTTATAAACAAATGGTCATCTCTCACCACGTAGAGATGCGTCATCTTCTGGGCCTTAGCACTGGCGTCCCTATCCCTAATTTCGCATGACAGGAGTAACCCCAATTCTCGACAAATTCCGTCATATTCCTCAGCACGGAAGGCCTCCCTAATCTCTCCCTCTTCGAACTCGTCGTTCTGACTTTCAGGAATGAGAAGTTCGCCCTCTTCGGAGCTGACTGCGCTCCTCTGGTCAAAGTTCCCTTGCAGGAGCGTGTTGGTGAGCAAGTACATCCCTCCCATTAGTTGCTCATGCTCCTCTACCTGGGTCGGGCCTTCCTCTATCGTCCTTACCTCCTCCGCTAGACTATGCGTCCTTGCCAATGCCAACCTCATCATCCAGCCAACATCCCTACTCCCCACGGATCTTCTTCCTGGATGGGTTTGAGGACCAACTCCTCCTTCTGCTCGTACCCCCTTGGTGCTAGCCATATAGGATGCGTGACACAGCTAGGCACCCTCAGCGACCACTCATTTATGTGGAGGCGGACATCCTCCTCCTGATCCAAGAACCCGTCAACTGGTGGGGTGTCCTCAATTGACTCTTGACCCGCCCCATCCCAGTTGATACGGCTCAGCCCATCTACCCTGTTCTTGTCCCCGGGAATCCTTTCCAACTCAAAGTTAAACATCCAAATGTAGGTCAACCACCTCGCGATGGTTGGGTCAGATGGAGTATAACTTTTCAGGGAACACGCAAGCGCAGTAGGGTCCACCCTCAAAATGAGTCTCCTGCCAAAGATGTAGTTACGAAAGGTCCTTAGGCAATGGAGCACCGCCAACGTTTCTTTCTTGAACTGCGAGTAGTTTCTTTCAGTCGTATTGAGGGTGCGACTTTCAAATCTCAGCGGCCTCTCCTTCCCATCCGCATCTGCCTGAATCAGGACCCCTCCTAAGGCAGTTGGTCCGGCGTCCGTCTCAACAACAAATGGCTTCTCCTCCGTGGCTTCGTGATTCGGCGCTCCCAGCACCAAGCCTTCTTCCTTGAATTCTCTCTTCATCCTTTCCACAACCTTTTCCTGGTCTTCGCCCCAGACCCATTCCTGGTCCTGACGTACCAACTTCCTCAAATGCTCCGTCTTGGTGGCGAAGTCCTTCACAAAACTCCTCCAAAACCCGCAGGTCCCAAGGAAGCTCCTTACGTCCGTTATTGATTGGAAGGCGACTGGCCACTCTAGGATCTTGTCCGTCTTCTTCCCATCTGGCCTCCGCCCCTTTTCGTTGTAAACAAAGCCCAAAATCGTGGCCTCCCTCATGCAATGCTTCGACTTGGGGTCGCTCGCCGTCAGGTTGTGCTCCTCCAACAGACCCAGAACTTGATCGATATCCTAGACGTGCTTCAAGACAAACCGCCTCACTCCCGGCATCACTTCGTCCTCCTCCTTCTCTTTTGGCCCTTTGACCACCAAGTCGTCAATGTAGGGCTGAGTGATATGTGGGCTAACTGTCTGCATGGCCCTAATCATGTGTCTTTGCACCATTGCCACCGCATTAGTCCACCCCTGAGGTGCCACATTCATGTGGATCAGCCCCCTTGGCGTATGCATCGCCGTCACTGGCCTATCCGGTGGGTATACAGGAAACTGGTCATACCCAGAAGAAAGGTCTATAAGTGAGATTATAGGCCTTCTTGCGCTTGATTCCGACAGGGCAACCGCGTTTGGCAACCCTCCCGCGTCTCGCACCGTCACTGCATTCAACCGTTGCAGATCATGCACCCACCGCAGCGTTCCGTTCGGGTTGATGAAACAAAACCAGGGGGAAGCGTACGGCCCACTAGAGTAATCCGCCACATACGTCCTCATCTTCCCATCCAGGTAATCCACCACCTTCTTCTCCTCATCCGGATTCGGGTATCGCGCGCCCCTCAGATTCCACGGCTCATGTGGGACGGTATGGATTCGTATCATTGGGATTTTATCCACGTCCAACCTCCCACGCTCGTCATCGTTAAACGCATACGCACAATGCCTCCTCTTCATTGTTTTCACCATCAAGGTCCTTTCCTGGGGTGAAAGGAAATCAAGCTCGCCGATTATCAGCCCCTCCTCGTTCTCGTTATTGATGTTGCACGGTCCTGCCTGTACACGCTCCCGCATACACCTTATCAGCCCTCGCTCCCGCTCATAATAAGCTTCCTCGTCCTCCGTGACAAGCACGGGGATCGGGCGGCACTTCTTGTCTATAGTCTTGTACCACCTTTGGGAACCCTGCTTAAGCCCTCCCCTAAAAAAGGCCGACTTGTCGTTCGGGCCTGGGCCATCGCAGGGTCTCCTTTCCTCCCGGGAAGCCGATAGATCAATTCCGCTTCTCCCACCTGAGGGTTTTCCAGGACCTGCTCCCTCAACGCCTTGATAGCCTCAGGGTCCGCCATATCATCTGCCGCCACCACCTCCATTGCCTTATTCACATCGTTGAGGCTCAGGGATAATACATTGCCTACTCCTTCCTCCTCCTGCTCCTCCCGGAGTCTCCGTCGCGCGTATTCAGACTCCTCGAAGGTGAAGGAGCCGAGGTTGAGCCTGTTTCTCCCGCTTCCGGGTCCTGTGTTCCGGCACTTAATGATTTCATAGTTTCCACAAGCCGGATCGGACAAAGCCAGAATCATCGTCCCTTCATGCCTGTTGAAGACCAAGGTCTCCGTTCGGCAGAGGAACGACCTCCCAGAAAAATAGGGTGGTCGACATCGGGCATGACGAAGAAGCACGTCTGCGCCCTTACTCTCCCAATCTCTACCATTACATTAGATGCGGTGCCGCAAAAGATGGCCTTGCAGTTGGCGCCATGCAACACGCCATGGTCCGAATGGTCGACCTCCAGCCCGAGCATAGTCGCATCCCGCTCCCGGATGCTGTTCATTTCCGCGCCCGTGTCCACCATTGCAATGCTCGGCTGGTCTCTCACCTTCAGGTCCACCAACCCACACGCCACACATTTTCAATCCATCCTGGTGCCCGCCTCCGTCCACTCTATCTCCCTGGGCAGGATTGAGCTCAGATGGACATTGGGCACTAACCTCCGTGAGAGTCGTCCTTTCAGCTCGCCCCGGAGCCTCGGTGCTGACGCCAGAATGTCCTTTAAGTTCATCAGATCGTTATGGCCCTCCAGGAGCTTATCCACCATTTGTTCCACGTCAAAGCCTTCCTCCAGCCGGACCGCGTACTTTTTCCTCTTTGGCACACCATCATGCGGACTCGGCTCCGCCCCTCCCTGAGCCCCCCTCTTCTTGGCCCTCTGTTACGCCCTCCGGTCCTCCTCCTGCCGGAGTCTCTCGTCCTCTTCGTCATCACCCTCATCTTCCTCTTCTCGAACCCCTACCACTTCCTTCCTTCATTCGGGTTCAGGGTCCTTTCGAGGGGGCGCCCGACTAGGTGCATGGCTAGGCCCCTGACTGGCGGTAGCCTTGCTTTGGCCCCTAGTCTGCGCAGCCTGTGGTGCCCTTCCATGCAACATAGGGGGCCTGAAGGTCATCCTTGACCTGGGGCCTGTCCCAGCCGTAGCCACACTTGGACACCCTTGTGGTCCTGATGACGACTCCGGCGTTCCGGGCCAGGATACCGCCCCGGCCACTCTTCCAACCCACACTTGTACCCACGGCCCCTAGGCGCCCATGCCGGCCTACCACCCCGCGCTGTGGCCGTCCCATGCGCCTACCGGCGCGCCAGCCTTACCCTTGGTCACGCGCACCTATCAAAAAACAAACTTTCATTCCCTAACCAAGGCCGTAACTCGGTCCAGGTCGGTCGGCTACCCCGGCCGCCCATTCAATTAGAAAAATCACACGCGCGCCTTTCATATTTCGCGCCCACCCACTCCCTACCGGGACAAGGCAGACCTTGGCCTGCGCGCGGACAACCCTCACATTTTTCCGCTCGGGCACTCAAAGTCCAAGTTAACCGAGCCTTTCTGTCACTTGCAAAACCCAGGGCGGATACCCTTGTAAGGGTATTCGCGCCGACAACGCACACACATACACGTAATAGTGTATGTTTCCTGTGTTTTAGTTGTAGGTTCATTCGGTTTTGCCTCGTCCTATCGATGGTAGTAAAGCGAAAACTGACCGCAATTCACACATACACACACATATAGATGTAGTAATGAATATACCCACATTTTAACGATAGATTCATTCATTTTRTTTTTATTTATTTATGTATTTATTTTTATTTATTTTATTCTATTTTATTTATCCTATCGATGTGCCAAGAGGTAAGCTGCTAGATTGAATGCTTACCGGTTCTCTCTTCGTCGTTGCCGTCGTCACCGTCGTCGGCCTTTGTCACCAGTCCTCGGCATTGCCGTTGTCATCGGCTCGACACTTAGGTAAGTATTTGTTTTCCTCCTCCCTCTTTCTTCTCCTATCCTCCTCCTTCTTCTTCCTCTCCTTCTTCTTCTTCTTCTTCTTTTTCCTACTGCTACTTATTCTTCCTCTAATAATAAGGTTCAATGAACTTTCTGAAGCACCCCCAGTGGCAAACCGTCGAGATCACCGCGGTCTAGGCACTTCACCGGACCATTCAATTGGTAAGAGGGACGGAGGCGTGTGCAAAGAGTAAGGATGTAATCGGCACGAGCTGATGACTCGCGCTACCTCCGCGGGGTCCTACTCCTTTTCTCCACGCCTTCACATTCGTCTACCACCATGCTATCTTTCTTCCACTCCCCTCGTTCTTACTCGCCCCCTTTTTCACTCGCTAGCCCGTATTCGCCCCGCACGGTCACCTTCTCCCCGTCTCGGTATCATGCCTTCCTGCTCACTTCGTTCGAAGTCTCCCACCCCCCTCTCGCGTTCCTCTCTACCTCGCCTGTCTCCCGAGGTTGCGTGCTAGTATCCAGCTGCCTTCCCGACTTCAAGGCCGGGACTAGTGGGTATCGGGGTGCCTTTCGATGAATCCGTTGCGAATCTCGCGACAGATTCATCAAAACAGACAACCAGAAAGAGTTATTGATCAAAAGAAAAACAGAGAATAAAAATAATAATAATAATATTAATAATAATAAAATAAAAAAAGGAATCTAATCTTTAAAGATAATAAATAAATAAAGAAAACAAAGAAATCTAACTGCTAACTACCCTAGGCTGCCTAGTGGCAACCCCCGTTACAACAGAGGTTCACGTTCCAACTAACCTTCTAACAACAACTTACTCCTCATTCGAAGGTCACGGGTTCGAGTCCCGTCCTACCGAACACGGGTAAATAAAAGAGGAGCCTCCTTTCAAAAGGAAGCTAGCTCTGAAGGGCAGTGGGCCTCGATCCCTGTGTCTCTCGTTTATCAGTCTACACCTAAACCTACCGAGCCAACTTTCACTTTGGGTAAAAAGGGGGGCAGCTCAGATATATGCAGGGT